TCTGCGCCTGGCTCACCCTTGGCAGGTGTGGGATCCGGGCGGTAGCTCGAGCTCAGAGGGCCAAGCAGGTGGAATGAGCCCAGTGGCACGAGCAATACTTAGGCAGAAGGCGCCTCTGGTCGCAGAGGTTTGCAGCTGGCGAAGTACACCCAAAGGATCCCATGACAAGAGGACTGATAGTATTTGACTTTAAGACATATTATAAAGCTTAATGATCAACAGAGTGTGATATTAGTGAAAAAAGAGAGAAACAGATAAATGGAATAGAATAGAGAGTCCAGAAATAGACCCACATGCATACAGAGGGTCTCTGACTAATGATAGTTCAATCTATGATTTTTAAATTTTGTGATGATGCAAAACTGACACGCATTAGTAGTATATAGCAGTCTCCCTTTATCTGCAGGGAAGACATTCCAAGACCTCCAGTGGTTACCTGAAACCAAGGCTAGTAAAACCCTATATATACTCTGTTTTTTCATATACATATATGTCTATAATAAAGTTTAATTTATAAATTAGGCACAGTAAGAGATAAACAACAATAATAATAAAATAGAACAATTGTAACAATATACTATAATAAAAGTTATATGAATATGGTCTCTCTCTCTCTTTTTCCCCCGCTCTCAAAACATCTTATTGTACTATACTGTGGGTATAGAAACCACAGAAAGCAAAAGCACAGATAAAGGGAGATTGCTGTACAAACATTCAGTTTTTCACTTTCAACACACTATTCAACAAATTACAAGAGATACTCAAGACTTCATTCTATGAAATGGACTTTTTTAAAAAAATAATTTTGCCCAACCATAGGCTAATGAAAGTGTTCTGAGCATGTTTAAGGTAGGTTAGGCTAAGCTATGATGTTTGATAAGTTAAATAAATGCATTTTTCACATACAATATTTTCAATTTACAATGGGTTTAACTCCACCATGAGTCAAGAAGCATCTGTATAGTCAACTGATGTTTGAGAAAGAAGCAAAGGCAATACAATGGAGCGGAGGTAGTCTTTTCAACAAATGAGACTAGAAAACTGAAATCTAGACGCAAAAAAAATGAATCTTGACTCAGACCTTACACCCTTCACAAAAATTAACTTGAAATGGCTCATAGACCTTAATGTAGAATATAAAGGTATGAAACTCTCAGAAGATAACATAGGAGAAAACATATAGTCTTGGATTTGCTGATAACTATTCACTTAAGTTTAAAAATTGTGTTTTTTAGAGAGATGGGGTCTTGCTATGTTGCCCAGGCTAGTCTCAAACTCCTGGGCTCAAGTAATCCTCCTGTTTCAGCCTCCCAAAGTTCTGGGATTACAGGCACGAGCTACCACATACAGCCATGGTAATGACTTGTTAGATACAACACCAAAGGCATGACCCTTTTATGAAAGAATTTATGAATTGGACTTTGTTAAAACCAAATACTTCTGTTCTTCAAAAGACACTGTGAAGAGAATGGAAAGACAAACCAGATTGAGAAAATATTTGCAAAAGACTTAGGATGAAGGGTATCAAGCTATCATCCAAAATATACAAACAACTTGTAAAACTCAACAGTAAGAAAATGAACAACCCAGATAAAAAATGAACAAAAGTAGGCATAGTGGCTCACACCTGTAGTCCCAGCTACTTGGACGGCTGAGGTGGGACAATCACTTGAACCCAGAAACTCAAGTCTATAGTGAACTATGATCGTGCACTCCCACCTGGGTGACAGAGCAAGACCCCATCTCTAAAAAAATAAAAATAAAAATAAATTTAATAGACAAAACGCTGGAACATACATCTCACCAAAGAGATGTACTGATGGCAAATAAGTGTATGAAAAGATGCTTAACATTGTATATTATTAGAGATTTACCAATTAAAACAATGAGATACTACTATATACCTGTTAGAATGTGAAAAGTCGAAAACACTGATGATAAAACCAAATACCTGAGAGGACATGGGACAACGAGAACTCTCATTTGTTGCTGGTAGGAGCACAAAATGGTACAGCTACTGTGGAAGACAATTGGGCAGTTTGTTACTAAACTAAGCATGCTCTAACTGTGTCATCTAGCAATTGTACTCCTTGGTATTTACCCAAAGGAATTGAAAGCTTATGTCCCCACAGAAACCTACACACAGATGTTTTTAGTGACTTTATTCATAATTACCAAAACTTGGGAGCAACCAAGATATCTTTCAGTAGGTGAATGGATAAATAAACTGTGATACATCCAGATAATGAAATGTTATCCAGCTCTAAAAAGAAATGAGCTAACAAGCCATGAAAATACATGGAGGAAATTTAAATGCATATTTCTAAGTTATTTGATTCAGGGCAGAGGACTACACAAGGCTGTGAACATTGGGAAGTTAGGGTCACTGTGGGCCTTCTTAGAGGCTGGCTACCATGCAAAGTTTTTCACATTTATCAGAAGAAAGGAGTTCTTAGTATTTATCTGTGATTCTTTAAATATGCCATATCAAAAATCATCCCTCTTAACAGTCCTAAAGTTTTTGATGTGTGATACTCTCTCTCTCTCTTTCTCTCTCTCGGCCCTCAGAAGTCAAATGATGAGGTGCTGTGACCACCAGAATGAATGCTAAACAAGCCACATAATAGATGACCGCTAGACTTGTCTATCCCACAGGGTCACTGGATGGTCCAGGGAGGTTGAATGCGTTTTTCAAATAAATGTGGAGAGTGATGTTAATGACAAAATTTTCCTTACACTTCTTATGCTGGGAGAACTCCTACTCATCTCTTACTAGTCATTCATTCAGCACCAGTGTTAACCTCTGTTAGGTTGACCATACTCTTTGATAATTATTTACTTATGTGTCTGTCTCTCAGTTCTCCAATAACACATTCCTTCAAGTGAGGGCTCCTCCAGAGCTAGAATCCATATGTATCCTATAGTCCTCAAGGCACAAAGTAGGCATCAGGAGACTAGAATTGCTAAATCAAAGAAGGATAAACTATCAGTGATTCTCAGAATAGACATCCTCCCTCCAATTTTTAGCCTTTTCTAAACCTTTGGAAATCATTATTGGAAATGCATCAGCCAAATCCCAGGGAGTTCTGCAGGGGTGAAGGGAGGAAATGTACCACCAGATTATGTTCTTTAAAAAATATATCTCCTAATGACTGGAAAACAGCACCAGGCATTATTTTATTTACAGAACTCAAATCAAATCACCAAGAGGCAAAGACATAAGTAGCAGGAAGTTCAGCAGATAATTGACTAATCAGAGCTGTCTTCTCATCCTATTTGATTCTAGGGTTAAAGAAAATCTGTGTTGTGCAATCCATTTATAATCTAAACACATACATGACTTTCTCCCCGCAAAACACCAATGCTCCCAGCTTAACTGATGCTGAAAATTCTGCCTATATTGTAGGGGAAAAGAGCTGAAGTCCAGTGGATGTAGCTAGTGGAAGAGTGCAGGAGACATAAATTGAGAGATAGCAAAGACAGAACAAAAGTTACTTGGAGGAACAAGAGATCTTCTGGAGAAGGTGTCCAAGTGGTTTCTTAGGATGCTCCACTTATGGGTCCTCTGGGTGAGCCTTTTGGATACTAATAGCTACCATTTATTGAGCCATTACCATATGCCAGATGTTGTGGTAAGCATTTTTAGTGCATTATCTCATTTTAATTCTCAGAACAACCTTGCAAGTTCAGTATTGGTACCCCCATTCATAGATGAAACTGAAGGTCAGAAGATTGTAGTGATTTGCCCATTGCCATAGAGTTAAGAGCTACAAAAGCCATGAATCCCTGTAGATTAGATTTGACTCAAAGCTTCTGCCCTGGGTCGTTAAGTATCCTCACAAAACCACTTTTCTTTTCTTTTCTTTTCTTTTTTTTTTTTTTTTTTTTTGAGATGGAGTTTTGCTTTTGTCACCCAGGCTGGAGTGCAATGGCACTGTCTCGGATCACTGCAACCTCCACCTCCCAGGTTCAAGCGATTCTCCTGCCTCAGCCTCCTGAGTAGCTGGGATTACAGGCACGCAGCACCACGCCCAGGTAATTTTTATATTTTTAGTACAGACAGGGTCTTGAATTCCCGACCTCAGGTGATCCACCCGCCTCAGCCTCCCAAAGTGCTGGGATTACAGTGTGAGCCACGACGCCCGGCCCACTAAACCATTTTTGAGGCAGCTAGTAAGTATTTCCTCCATTCTACAGATGAGGAGACTGAAGCCCAGGGATGACTTAACTTGCCCAAGTGACACAGAGAGTAGCAGAGCCAAACCAGGTTTCCAACTCCAAAATCTCTTCTGCTTTAAAGATAGAAGAAGAGCAACCGCGAAGAGTGAGAACGTGCCAGAAGGCCCCTGCAGGCCAAGCACTGCCCTCTCCTAGGACACAGCTCCGACCCACCCCCAACCTCCACAATTAAGCCACTTTCAAGAATTTTCTTTTCTCTACCTCTGCCCCAGTGTGGCCCCTGAACTGAACAGGGACTGGGTGGTTCTTGGGAGAGTCTAAAACATACCTTCGCAAAGATTCCCTAGGAAGGGAACAGCCAGGGCACCACCAGCCCTGGTGCTCCCATTCCCACACATCTGAGCAAGGCCCGTGCATAAGACTGGCAAGTGCTTGAACCAGGAGGCAACCAAACTGGGCTCAAACACAGCCCGCCGGTTTTGACCAATACCAGCAGCTCCCCTTTTCAAAGCATCTATTCTGCGACAGACATTTCACTAGGAGTTTCCTCCATGTTTTAAAATTTAATAGCTCCCCCTCCACCAACGATTGGCCCTATTTTACAAAAGAGGAGCCTCCGACTCCTGGGGATGAAGCGACAAGCCCAAGGACAGAAAGTCCTCACGAGCTTGGGACTTGAACCCACTACGGCCCCAGATTCTGCTGTTGCCCGGGAGCAGAGGAGGGAGGAGCTGCCAGTGCGGAGGGAGGTGGGGAGAGAGGGCAAGCTCCCAGCAGCGCGAGCTGACGACAGCAGGTGTTTTTTTTTTTTTTTTTCCCCAGCACTTTTTCAGTCAGCATCGTTACTGAATTTTTTTTCTCCCTGCTGAGCGGCGTAAAAGGGTGGGGCCGCTTTCCTGCAGCAGAGGCAGAGGCGGCGGCGGCAGCTGCTGCAGCATCTTTCACGGGCAGCGGCAGAGACCGAGAGCTGCAGAAAAGGGTGGGGTCGCTTCCCAGGAGAGGAGGCAGTGGCGGCGGCGGCGGCTGCGGCATCCTCGCGGGCAGCGGCGGAGGCAGCAATGCTCGGTCTTCGCTGGAGGTGATGGCCTCCCAGTCCTGCTAGGTGGCCGGCTGCACTAGGACGCCGGCAGGAAGGAGACTCGAGCCCGGTTCGCGAACCCTGCGGCCACACCGCCCGGCCCCTCCTCTGCGCCATGGCTTAAGCCTGCAGCCACCTCTCCTCACGTCGCCGCGCTCGACCGAGGTCTGTGCGCCGCCGCAGCCGCAGGGAGGGGCGCGTCCCAGACACCCTCGCCGGGGACTCGGGAACGCCGTGCCTCTCGCCCTTCGGCGCCTGCAGCAGACTGCGCTCCCAAAGGCGTTTGCAACCGGTAATTGAGGGACTCTACAGACTCTCTTAGGATAGCTCTCCCCGGGTGCTCGCTGAGGGAGGAGGGCGAACTAGCTCTGGCTGATCGGGGGTAGAAAACGGTGGGAACCACATTGGCTGGTCAGGATCGGAGGCTGAAGGAAGATTAGAGACTTGCTTTAGAACCTCAAGAAGAAAGAGGGGGCCGGCTTTTCAGCTAGCATCATGGCGTGGCCGTGCATCACGAGGGCCTGCTGCATCGCCCGCTTCTGGAACCAGTTGGACAAAGCGGACATCGCGGTGCCGCTGGTTTTCACCAAGTACTCGGAGGCCACCGAGCACCCGGGCGCCCCGCCGCAGCCACCGCCGCCGCAGCAGCAGCAGGCGCAGCCTGCACTCGCGCCCCCCTCGGCGCGCGCGGTTGCCATAGAGACGCAGCCAGCCCAGGGCGAGTTGGATGCAGTTGCCCGGGCAACGGGGCCAGCGCCTGGGCCTAGCGGCGAGCGTGAGCCGGCGGCTGGCCCCGGCCGGGGCGGGCCGGGCCCGGGCTTGGGCTCCGGCTCCACCTCCGGACCTGCGGACTCGGTGATGCGGCAGGACTACCGCGCCTGGAAGGTGCAGCGGCCCGAGCCCAGCTGCCGGCCGCGCAGCGAGTACCAGCCCTCCGACGCGCCCTTCGAGCGCGAGACCCAGTACCAGAAGGACTTCCGCGCCTGGCCACTGCCGCGCCGCGGAGACCACCCGTGGATCCCCAAGCCAGTGCAGATCCCCGCGGCCTCCCAGGCGTCGGCGCCCATCCTCGGGGCGCCCAAGCGCCGGCCGCAGAGCCAGGAGCGCTGGCCAGTGCAGGCCGCCGCTGAGGCCCGGGAGCAGGAGGCGGCCCCCGGCGGAGCTGGCGGCCTGGCGGCCGGAAAGGCGTCCGGGGCGGACGAGCGCGACACGCGCAGGAAGGCCGGGCCTGCCTGGATGGTGCGCCGCGCCGAGGGCCTGGGGCACGAGCAGACGCCGCTACCCGCGGCCCAGACCCAGGTCCAGGCCACCGGCCCCGAGGTTGGCAGGGGGCGCGCCGCAGCGGACGCCCTCAACCGGCAAATCCGCGAGGAGGTGGCGAGTGCAGTGAGCAGCTCCTACAGGTGAGACGCGGCCGCTGCTAGCGCGGGGGAGTCGCCGCGCAGACGATCCCCAACGCAGGCCTAGCGTGCAGCCTCCCTCCAGTCCCAGGCCACACCCTCTCCCCAGCCGCCTCCCAGGCCACCTCCCGTCGAAGCCTTCTCTTCTGCCCTGTCCTGTGCGCAAGCTGTTAGTATTTTCCATCTCAGCCTGCCTGGCTCTTTCACTTTACAGCTGTAGCGGTTTTCTCCATCTCGCCCACCTCAGATCCCTGCCTGCCCACAGAGACCCTTTGCAATGTCAGCAGTGGCTGTGCTTCCGTCCTGACCCCACCCAGCTCACCTGCTATGTTAGCCTGGATGCTGCCCTTTGCCGTCCGACAGGGTCCCCATTCTTCTAGAAGAAGAATTCTTTCCAAGTGGCCTCTCGCCCTCCTCCCTAGCCCAGTTCCCTTGGCCCTTCATTCTTTCCTCCCTCTCTCAGTCTCTGGGCAACACCCAAGCACCATACCTTTTTCTAGATTACCCACAGGATCTTTACAAATCACCCTCCTCCTTCCACTGCTGGAACTTTGAAGTCATTGTCCTTCTACTTCTTACTAGCTGTGACATATTGGGCAAGTTTCCTAATGTTTCTGGGCCTCAGGTTCTTATCTGTAAGATGTAATTGGTAATAGACATCTCTTAGCATTGTTCACACTTTTATTGATTTGATATTAAATATTTTATTTTTATTTAATTAATATTAAATATTCAACATATTTTTGAGTGCCTATTATATGCCAAGCACTGTGATGGACATTGTGAGGATTAAATGAGATGATTCAGGAGAACAGCTCGTGCCTAGCACATAGTGGTAATTAGTACATCTTGATTCCATTCCTACCTTCCACGTGATGCCTTATGATCCTAGATGCCTCCAGCCTTCTCTGGTATTGAGGCATCTTCTTTCTCCTTTCCCTACATGTTCTCCAGATGTCTCTCATTCTCTTGCCATCAAGAAGCCCTTTCTCCATCTCACTCAATTCCTTGCAGATAAATGCTTTCAAGCATGAAAAATCTCTCTCTCTCTCTCTCTTTCCTTCTGGAATTTTCCCTCTGCTACAGCCTCAGCCATTCCAGTCTGCCTTCTTGCCCTTCATCCATCCTGTATATACTTCTGACGGCTTAGCTTTCAATTCTGCCCTTATGTTTCAACCAACAATTAGCTAACAGAACACGGTTGACTCTGGACATGTAACATTGCATTTGGGGTTTCTCGAGGAACATGTGTATGAATAGTAATTGAGCTAGAGGTGTTCAAAATGCAGCTTATGGGGTCCTTCATCAATGTCACAGCTTTCTGCTGCCTTCTTCCTGCAAGAGGGTGTGGTGGGGGAGGACTAGAGAGTTAGTCTTTTGCCAATACTCTGTATGTAGCCTCATGTTAGACTAATGTCCTTCTCCACTGAACATTACCAATACTCTCTCATAGGCTAAGGAAAGAATGGCATATCCAGACATCCTTCATGTTAAGAGAAAATCTGTCCCCCAACTCCTACCCCTGCATTTCTCATCTTCCTGAATTCCACCTCCCACTTGGCATCTCTCTCTTGGTTTATTGCTGTCACAACAGCCACACTGGGAACCCAGGAGTACAGCACTTCCTTTGAGCTCTTGGTCAAACAAGGACATACATCCTTTTCCTTGAATAGCCATGAGATGGTAGAATGTTCACTATGTTTTTATGCTGCTATCAAGCGGGGAGCAAAAGAAAAGAGGGGAAATAAACAAGAGACATAAAAAAACAAAGGCAGGATGTAGTTTTCTGGTTCTGCTATGGCTTTCTTGCTTCAAGACCCTACTTCATTTCTTGATCTTCCTACCCTGAGAAGCCCACGTCTGGCCCAACATCATAGATTACTGGCCTGGCCTCTTCATCTTCCCACTCTCATTCTAGCACCCTGTGGCAGGTGGAACCTTACTACCCACTAGCAGGAGCTGTCTCTTCTCACCACCATACAGTCAATGCCAATCAAGAGAGATTCCAGATTCTTAAGCCTCTTTGGGTGATCCTGTTCAGTTTATGATTTCAAGTTGGCAGGACTTGCTTTGTTTATGGATGAGTGGCCTGTCACTCAAGGAATGACCACATCCTTTGGATATAACACAATCCAGATTTGAGGTTGTACTTTGTTCTGTATAGCCTTTTTCCTCAAAACAACAGCTTAACTGTGCAGTAAGCATGTCATGCTTCACGTTACACACATACTGGAAATGACTGGATTTGGTGGGGGAAGGCTATGCCCTCGGAGCTGGTGAGAATGATTATTTTTAGCACTTATCAATTCTATTAACCTGTCAAAAAAATCTTTTAACACCTCAAAAAAATTTTTAAATTTAGGTCTTTTGTAAAATTTAATTATACCTATGACTTAGGGGTCAGGAGTACTATTTTGCTATATAATCAGAAGGGTTTTGAAATATTAAGGGAATGATTATTGTTAAGAAACATCAATTTCTTTAATGAACAATTTAAGTGCATGACAAATTTGATGTGAAATTTAATGGTTTTTTTGTTCCAGAATAAAAATGAACAAATAATTGAGAAATTCACTTTGATTGAAAGTAGATATAAAGAAATAAGATATTCAGTACATTAAATACACAATAAAGAAAAAATCGTTGGCAATTATAAGCTTATCTAGAACACTGATTTTCCTTCTCTATTGTCTCGCATTCTTTTCCTTGCTATGATTCTAGGATATCTTCTGAATTTAAGTACCATGTCCACTGTAGATGGGCCTTATGTCACTTTAGAAGCCAAGCTGTGCTCCACTTCAATGATAATTTGATTTACAAACCCTTTTCTTCTGCCATTCTACATCAATTATGGTGTGTGTACACCATGGTGACTGGTTCATCTCATGGACTTTACAAATGACATCTGCCGCATGACATCAATGTGAACAGTCTGCTTAAACAGAAAGGGACATACAGTCCATCATGTAAAATATACATTCAAAATTCAGAGTAATAGGCGTGCTCATTGTTTTACTTTACAATTTACAGTCATAAATAACATTACATACCCTTTGACGTTGTGGTTTTGAGAAACCTTCCCTATTCAATAACTCATCTAATTCCGAATCCATTCGTATCAGCCTGAGATTTTTGCATTCAAGTAGTATCCAAGATAGCTTTAGGGTTATTCACAAACATGAGTTTGATTAATTTTTAATACATTCATTTTACATAGATGATGTTATAAAACTGAGAAGCATGTCTTTTTTTTTTTTTGAGCCGGAGTCTCGCTCTGTCGCCCAGGCCCCAGGCTGGAGTGCAGTGACCAGATCTCAGCTCACTGCAAGCTCCGCCTCCCGGGTTCACGCCATTCTCCTGCCTCAGCCTCCCGAGTAGCTGGGACTACAGGCGCCCACCACCTCGCCCGGCTAGTTTTTTGTATTTTTTAGCAGAGACGGGGTTTCACCATGTTAGCCAGGATAGTCTGGATCTCCTGACCTCGTGATCTGCCCGTCTCGGCCTCCCAAAGTGCTGGGATTATAGGCTTGAGCCACCGCGCCCGGCCGAAGCATGTCTTTATTGCCATTGTTAATGTTAAAGATGGATTTCATTGGGAAGCCATTTGTGACTTTAGACCTGACGTTCTCAATTAGAAAATAGATGAGTCATAAGGAGGTGATTAAAATTCCTCTCCCAGACAACCCCATTGCCCTGGCCATCAGATAATAGGGGTAGATAGGGTAGCAGCTGCTCCCTATAGACATGCTAATGAGAAACTTTTCCTAGAAGAAACCAACTGAGGCACTAGGAGGTAGAATTAATAAACCAGGGTGAAATACTTGAAAAATAAGAGCAGTAACAAGGAAGTTAGAAAGAAAAGGAGTCTTTAATGTCTGCCCTCCAGCCTTACGTGAAGGTTACAGGAAGGCCCATCTGACTTACTTTATGCTATGCAGAACTGCCCCAATCCCCAACTTCCCATTTCCCTAATTTCCTCTTGGGTCAATCCCAGCAATGCCTCAAGGCCAATCTTGGATACGGAATTTACAGCGATGCCTTCCTAGATCCAGCCATTCTGAATGAATTTTTCTTCTATTCCCTTTTTACTTTCTGAACTCTTATCATTGTCTGCTTGATTGTAAAATACTTTTGTCTATATCTGTCTCCCCCACCAGGTCATGAACACCTGAAGAGAAGGCTGTATTTTGTTCACTCTGTACCTCTCACAGCCTAGGTGCTATATAGATTTGTTGAATCTAATGGAATTTTTAGGGCTTGGTGAAAATTTTATTTATCTACATATTGATAGAGTCAATTTCATTTAGTTGAATTTTTTTTCAGAAAATGATCACCAAACCCCTGCCATGTACCAGATAAGGAGCTGGGGATACAAAATAAATGAGTCATAATTTTAATGTAAGAAAATTGCGTCTTCCTCAATCAAGTTAAAGTCCAAATCCTGGTCAGGCGCGGTGACTCACGCCTGTAATCCTAGCACTTCGGGAGGCTGGGCGGGGGAGGGCAGATCATGAGGTCAGGAGTTCGAGACAAGCCTGACCAACATGGTGAAACCCCATCTCTACTAAAAATACAAAAAATTAGCTGGGCATGGTGACGTGCGCCTGTAATCCCACCTACTCAGGAGGCTGAGGCAGGAGAATCGCTGGAACCTGGAAGGCGGAGGTTGCAGTGAGCCAAGATCATGCCACTGCACTCCAGCCTGGGCGACAGAGCGAGAGTCCGTCTCAAAAAAAAAAAAAAAAGAAAAAGAAAAAAAGTACAAATCCTACCAGGTTAGCACTAAAAGTAAATGTTCAAATGGAGAAGGGCAGCAAACTTTACAGACGTGACTCTACATGGACTTTCACCTAGGGCAGTGGTCCTCAACCTTGGCTACACATTGGAATCAGTGGAGAACTTTCAAAAGATGCATAGGGCCCTTGCCCAGAAAATCTGATTTCATTGGTCTGGGGTGTAGCCTGGGCAACCAAGTTTTTAAAAACTATCTCAAGTGATTCTAA